CCACTCTAATTGTTGGACCCCAAACTTTAATATTGTGAGATACCCCAGCCTCTCCTCTAACTCTATGTTCCTTCTCCTTTCTCTTCTCAAAATCTATCATGGTTAGTGCCATGTCAGAGTTTTTGCAAGCTACTTCTCCCCCTCCCCCCTTGGAGGCTCTGCTGGGAAACTTGGGGATATAATAGTCATCGTTCTGATGGGCTGACTTCCCATAGTAGACCTATTTATAGCATCTGACTCACCTTAATTATGGGGAAATTGGCGTGTTGCTACATGCTAGGAGCATAAAATGTATCCTGGGTGCTTTCAAGGATCCAAATGGAGCTCTGGCTCTTTGAGAGGAACTAATCCCTGGAGCTGTCTCCCGCCTCTCTCACTAGCCCAAGACCTGCCATTTCATTTGCATCCAGAGCACAATGCTTTGTGCCTTTTATTGGCATATAACCTTTGCCACATAAACCTCGGTCCTCCAATAAATTCCTGGTTTTATTCAACAGCAATTTGTAATCTTTGTGCTGAATAATAATAATAAAAAGATCATCTTTCCCTCTTCCCAAGAAACCTCCATTTCGCCCCCCCCCCAAAAGCATTACAAACTCTAGTTTCTCTTTAGCAGCTTTTAGAAGTCCCTCAACTCCCCAGCATATTTCTCTGGGACACTGCACTCCACCCTAGCTTCGCTAATCCTTCCCTTCCCTTCCCCCCCACCCCCATGTTGGACATTCGGGGCTCGCATTATCATATAGAGGCCTGGAAGGTGTGTGTTGGGGTAGGAGTGGGAGTAGGGAAGAGGTAGGAGCCTCTCTCCCATTCAAAGCCCAGGTGTCGCCCAGCTTTGTTTCCGGGCTTTCGAAGTGCCCACCCTTCCACTCTAAAATTGTATTTCACTCTAAGTTGCTAGAGGAACCAATCCGAAGGCGCTAGCCTCCTAGCAAAAGCTACGGATCCCTGGGCCACTCCTCCTCGGACTCAAATATATTTAGCTTCATTATCAAATATTTGCACTGAGCCATCTGAGCCTCCTAATAGCGGCTTGAAATGTAACCTGACTCCAGAGGAGAAATGCACATGTGACCACATCAATTACGATAGATTAATAGACTAGGGTAGAGTAGAACTTTGGTGCACAAAATAGATTCAACCCAAGCAGAAATGTCTGCCGGCTTCTCAAATAGTATTTTAGGGAGTTAGAAATTTCTCTCCCCATGTCGTACCCAGCTCTTTTTCGAAGGGTCCGGGTCTTGATCGAACCCCACCCCAGTCAGTTTTTAATTCTTCTGAGATCTGAGTTTTGCCTGGAGGTGAGGAGAGCCGGAGAAGGTCTAGGGTGAAAAATCCTAGAACCTCAGATTGCTGGCTTTTTATCCTTCGCCACCTAAGTCTTAGGATCTTGAATTTTCCTATCTTGAAAATGAGTGAAGAATCCTTAACTGGATCTTTTTATTACACAGGTGTATTGAAGGGTAAACCAAGGTGAGAATTGGAAGATACCTGGTAGATAAATATCAGATATTAAGCGCCTTTAGCTGCCACGGGAAAGTGACGGGGGTGGGGGGTGGAGAGGAAGGGAAGGAAGATCTAGTTCTTAATTAACTGAAAGCTCGAATCTCCTAGGCTAAATCAGGGGGCAGGATCCTATCCTGGGGCTAAATAAAATTCCAGTCCCTTTGGGGTACTTCTTTTCCCTTCCTCTCTTCTAGTTCTTCCAAGGGCTCCTCTGGAGAACCAATGCAATTCCTTCCTGCAAGTTCCGGGGGCTTTCTGCACCTCCGAGCAAAGGGACCGCGGTTCCTGAGCCTTTCCTTGCAGGGACACTGGAGGGACCCACATTGTTGAGAGAAGTTTTTTACAACCTCGCAGAGAGCTCTATCGCTGTTGTTGTTATTACTATGACAACGTGGACCGTGGTTTTATTTTTAATCGCTAGCCAATGATTAAAACTGGCTCAGGCATTTTTAAAAAATGCAGCTATCACTTTCCACCTCGGTGTGATATCACCCTGTGCCCTCTCTCCACCCAGGCCACCCCCATCCCCTCGAGGTTGGAAAGCTTAACCCCCCTCTCCCATTTGGGTATCACTGGAAGAGGATGAGGCTCTAAAGGCTACCCCCTCCTTATCATAAAACATTTGGAAATGCTTGCTCACTGGATGAAATGTTTTCCATCCTAAAAAAGGCCTTTCTTTTAAGTGCTTCCAAGTCTTTTAAAGTTTCTCTCTCTCTCTGTCTCTCTCTGTCTCTCTGTCTCTGTCTCTGTCTCTGTCTCTCTCTCTCTCTCTCTCTCTGTCTCTCTCTCTCTCTCTCTCTGTCTCTCTCTCTCTCTCTCTCTGTCTCTCTCTCTGTCTCTCTCTCTGTCTCTCTCTCTCTCTGTCTCTCTCTGTCTCTCTCTCTCTCTTCAGACCACCCTGAGAGTATATTACACCACGAGAGCGCTGCGACTGCCTCCCTCCACCCCCCTTGAAAAATCTACTTCTGTTTGGACGCGGGTGTTGTTGGTGACAGGAGAGGGAAGGAGGAGTTACACACACAGAAAGTGAGAAAGATACAGAAAGACAGGAAAGAGATAGATACACACAGAGACAGAGGTAGAGAGAGACAGGTAAAGGAATAAAAAATTAGAGTGAAAAAGGACCCTTAGCCAGTACGGGTGGTTCCTCTCTAAAGCATGCTCCAGTCTGTAGCTCAGCAGAAAGACGAAGAAAAATGCCTTCAAGGGCTCATCTTTTGAAATGCGGGAAAATGGGCCAACCGGGAAGCCAGGGAGATGAAAGGCCCTAGGGCTGGTAGGTTGCGCCTTTACTGCCCATTGTCTAGCTAAGCGATGGTTATCGCTCTCTGGGTTGGGTAAAGGGAGTTAATCCACTTAAATACTGTTGGATTTTCTGTGGAGCAAAATTCTTCGCGCTGCTATTAAGGTGCATTTCTTTTCCCCAGTCTAGGGGGTCTCCATTTAAATTACAATGAGTTCAATAGACTGAGATCTCGGGTGGGGGTCGCTCGACCGGCTCCTAGTATAGACTTCAGTACTGTAGAATGGACTTTTAAAAATAATTCCTTTTGGAAACGCCAGAAGCAGCTCAGCAGCGCCCAGGTTTGAGTATTCAGTAGGGCAAGTAACTGCACCCTTCTCTCTGTTCCCCGCCCCCTCCCCACCTCAATAGCAGGTTCTTTTCTCCTCCCCTGGATCAAATATTAATGTTTTAATGGGTGAGTTCAAACGTGAATAATTGGGGACGACCGTTGGTATAAGCTTCGAGGTGTCTGGTTCTGCTCCAGCCCCACGCCGAAATCATATACAGGAAGGGAGGAATCTACTCCAGTTCCAGGTTAATATGTAATATATTAAACTCCAGGGAGGAGGGAAGCAGTGGGGGCCAAGGAGTCCACCAGGGGTTTGACTTTGAACTCCCCAAGCTGAAGAGGCGTTGGCTGGTCCCCCAAACTGCTCCCACCTAAAGCTTGCTTCTCTTCCCCAAAGCTCATCGGCCAAGCTGCGCCGGTGGCTCTGGGCCTAGGCAGCTTCGGGGTAGTAGGGCTACTGACAGCGAGCGCCACCCCGGATCCCCTCTGCTCCTCTCAGATCCCACAGCAATCGATACAGGAGTTCCTGTCTCCGGCGTCCACCTTCCTGCCTGCCACCTTCTCCCCCATTAAGTTTTCTGAGAACATGGGTGGAACTGACGCCCTAACGCTGCCTGTGTTCCCCAAAGGGGAAGCGGGGACAGTGCGGTGTAGACAGGCCCAGGAGGCTGGAGGACCGTCCCCTCCCTACCGGGCTGGACCCTAGGGCGGCGGCTGCCCTGGCGCAGAGCTGGCTGCTAGCATCAAAGGCTGGAGCTGCCCGGCCTGGCGCGGTGCCTGACCCTCCCCACACCATTCTCAGCCCCTGCAGACAGTTTCTCACATCTTGAAAATTGGGGTGGGGGGGCTGGTAGGAACGCTATATGGAGTATAGTCTACGGGTAGGGGTGGTATGTGTGTGTGTGCATTTAGAAGGGAGGGGTTTCGCCCCATACATTTTATCCTTAGATTTCTGCTGCGGGGCGAGTAGGGAAGGGTCAGCCATCCACTGCAGCCTCATCTCCTCACCCCACCACCCCCTTTGCGCACTGCGCTGAGAACGCAAAGGCAGCTGCACGGCTACTGAGGGCTAGATGCCCCTCTCGGATTCTTTAGAGTAGCGTACATGCGTGTATATGTGTGCATACATGAAATTATACATGGGGGAGGGGTTGTGAAGGATGGGGCCAGCTGATAATAATGGCGCAGGTTTCTGTATTTTAGGAGGCAAGGCGGGGTGAGATTAGCGTGAGTGAAGGATTTTCTTTCTTTTTTTTTCTTTGCGCAGAAGCTCCCGGCTTTTCAGAAGGCTTTGGCTGAAAGCGACAGCGACTGATCTCCTTATTTCCCTTTCCCTCCCCTCCCGGGTGCCGCAGGATTGCGGCTCGTACCAGAGCAGTGGGGAAGAGAAGGGCTGGGGGGGGGAAGTCAGGAGAACCCCGATTTAGGAAGAAGAGTGTCTCCCTTTCCTCCCAGCACCCCATGTCAACCCTGGCTTCTCGTTCCACTCACCCTCTTTCCTGGGTCCGGCCCCGTTCCCCACTTGCCCCCTTGCCTTTGCCCAAAGCCTGGCTGTGCTTTCTCTCTCTCTCTGTCTCTGTCTCTGTCTCTGTCTCTGTCTCTGTCTCTGTCTCTCTCTGTCTCTCTCTCTCTCTCTCTGTCTCTCTCTCTTTGCTTTGCAGCAGGGACCGCTGCACTGCTGGAGCCTGGGTTGCAAGACTGAATGCATTGCCGCAGCAGGAAACCAACCCCCACTACTTGTTGGTGGTTTGGTGCCTGGAATACTATAGGGAAGGGAAGGGAAGGCTAGTTGAGGGAGGGAGTGAGGGAGGGGAGAAGGAAGGGGGTGGGGTAAGAAAAGTAGGGGAGGGGAGGGGAGGCGGTGCATTGAGAGGGAGGGTGCCAATGGTATAACCACCTCCTCTGTAGCTTGCCCGATTTCACACACTCGCCTAGGCGCGGAGCAAACACAACCTCCGGAGACCTCTCCAGGAGTTAACCACCACCCTCCCTTTTTGGAAAAAAAATTTTTTTTTCCTGTCTGATCCAGTCTAGCCCCGGGGATTTAAAACCTTTTTCTCTTTTTGGCCAACGGGGAGGAGGAGAAGGAGGAGGACTTAAAACGGGCAGCGAAGGCTGCCATCTGGCGCTGCCCTTTTTCCCTCGGCGCTGTCTGTATTTCCCCACCTCAGGCTGAAAGGGGAGGGAGGCGAGAGGAGGAGGACCAAGAGAAGGAGGAGGAGAAGTGAGGGGGACGTTGTGGGGCGGTAGTGGTGTGGGAAAACGGGCATTCAGCGAGCAGGTCCCAGGCAGAGGCCGGCCCCGGCTGTTGGCAGACCGGCTGGGGGAGAGCCCGGAGCGTTTCGGAATACAGCCCAGCCCCAGCTCAGAACTGCGGTGTTTCGGGCGGGGAGGGGAAGTGTTTAGGGGGCTTTTCATCGTCTCTGCAAGTCGGAGGCGGGGAGTGTATAGTGGAGGGAGGAAGAAGGAAGGAGCTGGTGAGTCCCGGCTCAAGCAGACAGGTGATGGGCGTTTCAGCCGCGGCGGCGGCGGTGGTGCTCCGGTTCCATGCCTTGGGTTTCACTCGGGTCTGATCTAAGCAAATATGCAGAAGTACCGGCTGGTCTGCTCTTAAAGCCAAAAAAGCAGAGCTAGGGAGAGAGGGAGTGAGAGAGACGGCTGCAGCCCCAGATCCGGGAGCTACAAAAAATATATATAATAATAAACCCAACCCCCTTTCCTCCTCCCCTCCACCAGTTCCCCACCTCCCCCCCCCAGCGGCCGAGGAGGATCCCGGAGCGGCGCACACACACTCGCTCACACACACACACGCGCGCACACACACATACACACACACACGCGCGCACACACACCAGTGTCTTTCTCCCTGAGGGATGGTACTGAATTTCGCCGCCACTGGAGCCCGGCTGAAGCTCCTACACCGCAGCTCTGCGTTCCCACCGAGTCTAAAGTGCACCCGGACGCGATGAGGACCTGGGTTTGTGTTTTGCTCCTAGGGTTTGGATACCTGTCCTATGCCTTTCCCGAGGTAGGTACCCCCCACCCCATACCCACCTTCCTTATTCCCCTCGTTGCTTCCCCTGTGCTGCCTCTATTCCCTTTCCCTAGGATTCAGGTACCTGGGGGCGTCTTGGCTGGGGTGGCGAAAAACTCCCCCCAAATCCCTCTAGGCAGAGAGGCGGATCATTGGCAGGGAGTCGCACTGCATATCTTGCTCTGCAGATATTATTTAAAAATTGTGGTGGTGTATTTTTTTCCTCCCCCCCAAGCACGTTTTATTCTAGAAGCTCTCAAAGTATTTATTTTTGGTGAGTTTCCAGGATGTCGCGTTGCTTTACATTAGGGGGGGGAAGCTGGAGGGAAGGATTAAAATGCGGCTTGTCTGTGGAAAAGAAAAACTTGGGGGGATCTATAGACAAGAATAAGCAGGCAAGGCTCTTGTCTCTTTCCTGAGAACCCCTAAGCTGCCACCCCACATGGGGGGCTGCGGTAACGGGGTGTGAAAGAAAAGGGGTGTGTATAGACTTTGGGGGACGGGGTGTGAGGGGTGCTTAGGGGAGGAGGGTGTGAGAGGAGGAAGCTCCCTTGCCCCGGTTTCCCTACAGGTAGGGGCGGCTGTGGTCGGAGAGGGGTTGGACTAATAGAAACAGCACCAGGGTAGACGAGCCCCTCATGCAGGGGCACGGACTCAGTCCCGCCCGGGGCCTGGTTACAGGTGGCTGTTGGAAGCCGGCAAAGGCTGGCTGGGGGCTCGGGTGGCGGGCGCGGCTTTTTCTTCCCGGCTCTGTGCAGCTCCTTCCCAGCCAGAGATTCCCCATTCCACTCCCCCTGGGCCTTATGCCCGGGAGAATGACAGGGGCCCTTAGTGGAACACTTATTAATGATTTTCCAAAAACCGAAACGTCCTCTTCGCTGAAAGCTCCTACGTGGGAATTTTACAATGAAGCCCCTAGGGTGACCCTTTTTAAATAAAGGGCTTTGCTGAGGAAAAGAGTAGGTGTGGAGAGTAAGAGCAGGGACCTTGGCCTGGTGGGTGCTCCCTCCCTACTCCCCCCCTTTTTTTTTGCTGGGGGAAGATAGTGGATATTAACCCCCAACCATCTTGATATCTTTTATTGGTCAATTTATTTAAGTAAACCTTGTCAATTCTTAAGGCCCGGCTGGGTTGGTGAGAAGGAGGTGGTGCAGGGGGTGGGGTGGGGGTGCTATGTGAGAAAAGATGGGGGTTGGGGCTGGGAGGGGGCGTGGAGACAAGTGTGTGGGGGAGATCTCTCCTCTTAGGGTAAGATTAAGGATTCCAGGGCGAGAAACTTAAACTGCTCTTCTTATTAAAGTGTTAAAAAAAAAAACTGCCTGTGGCTTTCGGTTACCCATCCGTGACGCATTTCAACTTGTTCTTTCTGGATGTTAATTTCTCTATTTTAAACCCTAAACACACTGGGGCCACCGAGACTCTTCAGCCCCCACTGTTCTTCCTGCAGTTGACACCCCAGATCCCAGTAGTCAGAGCTGGGGCTTTTGTTCCACATTAAGAGGTGGGGGGTGGTGATGGTGGTGGTGTTTAAAAGGAGTCTGCATTCTTAGGTGGGTGGACCAGTGTAAGGGAGGGCCAAAAAGTCCTTTTAATGGGGGTGGGTTATTATACACCACCGAAATCCCCTACGTTTCCCTTTCTTCCCTGTTAAAATAAGCCGGGGTGTAATGTGGTATTAAGATTTAGATGGGGCGTTCGGCCTGCACAACCGGTTGCAGGAATTAATGGGCTGCTTGTAAGGGCGCTGTGCATATCCGCTACGTGAATTTTATTTCTTAAAGTGGGTTTAGGCAGTGGGGGAGAACTGGAAGCGAAGGAGAAATAGACAAGTGCCCAGCAAAGCCATACTGAACGGTAATCCACTGGGCTAGAAGGCTGCCACTGCCCAAACGCTGGCACGCACACGCCCACAAGCCCTACTGCTTCTAGGTGCCACCCGCTTTGGCGAAGGCTTTCCTTAGCCCGGCAGAGCACTGATAAGGTGTTTGGGTCTGATTCCCAGGAAGCCGAAATCCCCCGGGAGGTGATCGAGAGACTGGCTCACAGTGAGATTAACAGCATCCGCGACCTGCAGCGCCTCCTGGAGATAGATTCCGTAGGTAAATTAATTTCTCTTTTCCTTTGCTTTGCCAGGAAAAAAAAAAAAGAAGGGAGGCCTGAGGGAAGGTGGTGAGTGGGCGGGACGCACCCCCCCCCTCCCAGCTGCGAACACGCGTGTGCTTGCTTATGGCAGGGATTGCACGGCTCTCGCCCGGGTCTCCCAACCGGAGTAGGCAACTCAGACCGAAAGGTCAGAATCCAATCCGGGAGCTATAAAAACATGCCGATGAGTCAGGAGTTTCTTCCCCAGTCACTACTTTCTCTCCCAGGCTGCTTGGACTTCAGTGACTTGTCCGCCCAGGGCTCCTTCCTCAAAAGGAGGATTGTTTTTTTTTTTCTTTAAGGAAAATGTAGTCAGTGTCAATAGAAGTTCAGTTAAATAGAGAAGAATTGATGCTGTGGCTCCCGAAGGCTTGTACTCTCCCTTCAGACCTCGGTAATGAAGGTTTTTTGGAGGAGAAAGGGGGAGGGTCATAGCACATGAGGGTGATTTCACCCGCCAGCCGCAATCCAGTTCACGGCTTCTCGAGGAGCAGTATTAAGGAAACCAGCCGTCAAAACATGACCCCCCACGCTAGAACAGTAAATTTACGGGCACTCATTCAAAGGGCCAGAAGAGAGTAGTTTTCCCCTCCACTGGGTTTGCAAACACGCTTCTAGAGATGAGATGCCGGCCAGTCAGCGACCTCTCTGTGGAACAAATCTGTGAACTAGTCGATTCCTATAGCACATACACCTTGTTTGTTGCTGCAATTCAAGGTGGGATGGCCTGGGGGTGGGGGGAGGCGGTGCAGCCGCTGCGGCGGCAGTGGGGAGTAGTTACCCCTTGTTAAAGTGCTCTTTGTAATCACAGCAAGCTGTTGCCATATTACTGATTGTGGGTCTGGCCTTTGTGGTTTAAACAAATGCAGCTTTGTCCCTTTCTCTACCCTCCTTTTCTTAGCACATTTAAAAAGGCATGCAGCCACATCTGCTGTTTTTCGGGCTATTTTCAGATCTCCCTCAGAGTTTCTCTAGTCCATAGAATCCCTTAATTGTTGTTGTTACTGTTGTTTGTAAGGCTTACTTCTGGAAGTTGCAAGGAGCCCTGTGGAAAAGTTGCCTCAAACTCAGGCAGTTTCTACAGCCAACTTTTCTTTTTTTTTACCCTGCGAAGGAGAGCTAGGATGGGAGTAGGGGTGTGTGTGGGACTTGGTGGGGTGGGGGTGGGGACGGTGAGCTCCTTACCTTGATGGGGAGGGGTCTCTTGATCACTGTATTGGAACGTAGCTTCAGCCTTAGCGGTGAATTACTGAAGGGTGGTTAGTGCTTATTTAATGCAGCCTGGTTTGGGTCCTGAAATGTGGTTGAACTAGGCCATACTTTGTTGCCGGGTCTTTGAAAAAGCCTCTTCCTTCTTAGGCACTCCAGAAAATAGGCTGTTCACCATGCTTCTTTGGTTTGGGGAATTTGGTTGTTCAGAATACATTCTTCCTTACTGGGGAAAAAAGAGTGATTCCTGACTCAGCCTCTCTCTGAAGCTAGAGGACACTTTAAGTTATTTATGCATATGTAGTGGCAGATACTGGTCAGAAGGCTACAAGTGAGTGAATTGCAAAGTCTAGTATTTGACTTTATTCTGTTCCTGCAAACTATTCTGAGAACATTGAGGGAGGAAAAATGAGCATAATCATATGGTGCACTCATTTGGAAATTTGTACTTAATTATGGGAGTGGAGAGGCCTAAACTATTTCATTTCATGCCAAGACCATTTTTATAGTAAGAAAGATGGCTTCTGGAGTTTCTTGACCCAGGAAATCCCTTGGCTGATCCTTATCACTGCTGAGGTAGAATTTCTCTTAACACTTGAAAGAGAAATTTAGCTTGATTCCACTCCCTGATTTGTAACAAGTATTGAACTTGGATGTCTTTGTTTCATTCAATTGAACTGGAGTCTCAGTTGGTATTTTGGTGGTGCTGTGCTTTTGGAGAGAAAGGAGACCACAGGGAGTTTGTATGACTTTGATTTCTTTCCATTTAAGGTAGGATATTTTTTCATCTTTTGGCGGGGGTGGACTACCATTTTGGAAGAGAATAGAAGCAGCAGGGAAATAGACCATTCTCATTTCCTACTTAGACCATTCTTATTCTCTGCTGCACATCCCTTCATCCCCCCCACCCATTAACACCTTTTAAAATCTAAGCTCAGCCTGTTAAATTGATAGGTTTTTGCATTGCTCTGAGGTGACTAGCCTCACACCTGGAGGAGTAAGAATGAAGGATACTTTGAGGAATCACCAGTCTGCCTACCTGGGATGCTTTACTTTAAGCCCTCTCTGTATACTAGGATGGGGGGGGGGAAGAGCACAGGCCTTAGCTACTCAGATGATGGAGGATCTGGGAATGCTGTCCAATTTTTAAAAGGTGTTATTTTGAAAGGATTAATTTTGGACCTCTCACTAGAGTCTAGCAGAAGATAATTTTAAGGAGGCCCTTCTTTCTATGTCCCTTAATTGTGAAAAGTAATCTCGTTAGAGGAAAGTAATCTGGTTCTTGGGATACCTTTCATGAGAAGGATATTTGGAATTCTCCTTGCTTCTGAGCTGTTCATAGGATCATAGATTTAGTGCTGGAAGAGAACTCTTAATGGTCTGAATCAGGGGTGGGGACCCTTCGACCTCGAGGGTGCAGGTGGCCTTCTAGGTCCTTGGGTGTGGCTTTTTGATTGAGTTCAAGTTTTGCAGAACAAATTAAGGGATTTGTTCTGTGAAGTTTGCATTCAGTTGAGGCCGAACTTGAGGACCTAGAGGGCCACTTGTGACCTTGAGGCCCAAGGTTCCCCACCCCTCTTCTAAATAGTCCTTATGTTACATATTACTAAACTGAGGCCTAGGGAGATGGGGAGCCCAAATCACAGAGATAGTTAACTGAGGGCATAGGTACTCTGTCCCCAAAGCCTGTGTTTTCTATTGTATTGTGTTGGCTCATGGTATTGCCCCTCTGGGACAACCTTCATAGAACTCTGGGAATTAGAAGTAGAAAGCGATCCTTAAGAGATGATTAGTGTAACTCCTTCATTATTATTATTATTATTGTTATTTTTAATTTTAATTTTTTGCTTGTAGGCAATTGGGGTTAAGTGACTTGCCCAGGGTCACACAGCTAGTGAGTGTTAAGTGTGTAGTCTGAGGCTGGATTTGAACTCAGGTCCTCCTGACTTCAGGGCCGGTGCTCTATCTACTGTGCCACCTAGCTGCCCCCCATGATTATTATTTTTAAAAATTTATTTTTTGAGGCGCAAATGAGGTTAAGTGACTTGCCCAGGGTCACACAGCTAGTAGGGGTCAAATGTCTCAGGATGGATTTTGAGCTCAGGTCCTCCTCACTCACTCACTGTATCACCAACTTCCCCACTCCATTATTGTAGAGGTGAAATGACTTACCCATGCTCACACAGAGGCAGTAAAGTAGCAGAGGGAGTTGGCATTCAAACCCCAGTCTTCTGAATAGAATACAAAACCAATTATCTTGGTACTACACCAGATTTTCATCCTGTGAAGACAATAGGTCCGTTGGGAGGTGGTAGATGCCTTAGGATTTCTGTGCTTTTGAAGGGGTCACTGTGAGAGACAGTCCAATGGTTAATGTTGTTGGGCAGTAAAGAACCAGGAGAGAGAGGGATCATTCAAGCAATAACTTAAATGCAGGTGATGTGACAACTTTTGTAGACCTTGCTTGATCACAAAACTGTAGGAAAACTTCCAAAGGCTTTTTTTTTTTAAAGTAAGTTGGGAGTTATGACAAGTACTGCTGACCTTCAGCGGAGTGTTTTGGTTTTTGCATTTGATTCCAACAGGGCTAGAACAGGCCTAGAAGGGTATCCACAGGTAGCTTGGAGATTGGTTGCTTTAGTAGTTGATTATTCATTGGGGGATTATGTGTGGGTTTATTCCTGCTGTTAAATTCATTTCAGTCAAGAGTTTCAACTTCCTTCCTCACCAAAATATTTTACCAGAGGCTGATTAAAAGGAAAAAAAAGGATAAGGTGGGCACCAGAAAGGATTGTCCTTGAAAGAGCAATGCTGTTCAGCACAAATGGGACCTTAGTTTTAGAGACAGAAGGGACTTCATGCATCTCCCATTAGGCTCCAACCCCCTCATTTTGCTGATGAGGAAACTGAGTTCAGGGAAAGTTATGGCTTCCCCAGCTGACCCTTATGTGCCCAGAGAGTAGTACCTCATTTGTACTTTTCAGTGGTAGCCAGGTGGTAAAGGTCCAGGAGTTAGGAAGACTGGCCTCAGATACTTATTAGCTATGTGATCCTAGGCAAGTCTCTGAATCTTTTCTTTGTTTTTCCCCAACTGTGAAATGGGGATAATAATAGTACCTCCCTCCCTCAGAATTGTTTCGAGAAACAGATGAAATATTTGTAAAGTGCTTAGCACAGTACCTGGCACATTGTAGATGCCATATAAATACTGGTTATTATTATTATTATCCCAATGAGATATTTGTAAAGTGCTTCCTGTAGTACGTGGCACATAGTAGGTACTATATAAAAATGCTAGTTATTATTTTTATTATTATCCCAATGAGATGATAGTTATAAAGTACTTAGAAAGTGCCTGGTACATGGTACTTAATAAATGCTTCTTCCCTTCCCCTTACTTGTTCCCACTCTGGTACATAGGTGCTTAACATGCTTAATTGATTATCTAAGGTCATATAGGTAGAAGGTGGCAGAGCTCTACCTTACCAGGGCCTAATAGGGCTTTGAAATCTTATCCTTTGTTCTTGATTTCTTGGAGGTTGGGCTATAGCTTTAGTTTTGATAAGGCGAGGAACTGACTACAATTTGGGGTGAACTTTGGGTTTGCTAACAGCATTTGAAAGCCATCAAACTCTGGCCTGTGTGAGTTTTATTTATTTATTTAAAATACATAAATGATAGTCTTGAATTTTAGGGCACATTTGCTATGATTAATTAAACCGAACAATATTATTGTTGCTGTCTCAGATCTGGGTTTTCCCCTAGTCAGATTGGCACAGTTCCAGCATGTCCTGGTGACGCTAATCCAATAAATATCCCCATTCAGCCCCATTAATGTACTGCCCTGGACTAATTGCTGAGAATTTCTACCCATCATTTCCATGTTGTTAGTACATCAGTGCAAAAAAGATTAAAGCAGAGCTACTTGATTAACTGTCTTGAAAACAGTTTAAAAAGTGATTCAGAGGAGAGCTTTGCCCGACTGAAAGTTGTTCTGACTTTGCTCCATGACACATCCTGAAAGTTCATGTGGGTGAAGTTGCCTCTCTGGATCTGTGAGTCAAGATATCTTTTCCCTGGCTCGACAACAATCAGGCACTACTCAATTTGGGTTCTTGGCCACCCATCTTGTTGACTAGTGATGTTTCTGCTGGCCTGAGTTATTCCTGGGCAGGTAAGAGCTGTGTCACATTGGAAACACTTTCTGCCCTTCATAATTGAGAGAAAGCTTTCCCCATAGTAAAGTCCTTTCTGATCTTAAAGAACATTGCTAAACAAGATTTTTTTTTGTTTGCCCACGTGTATTGAAGTTAGTACGAGAAATTGAGTAAAAGCTTATCCAGGAAGTTGATAGAGATACTTTAACTAGGTAGTATTGTAAAGAAGATTTGGCGTTGGCAACATGGCTGCCATAAGAGGATGACTCAGAAATGTCCCTTGTGTTAAGAAAGGATTGCTTCTTAAATGATTGGTTGATAAGAAATAACTTTTGCATCAACAGAGTCAACATGAATTCTGATCTGATTACTTTAGGTCTTTAGAAAACTGCCTATATTGGAAAGACAAGGTTAGGCAAAAAAAAAAGTACAAAATCTAGTATTTTCAGTTTCCATGAACATTATACAGGCTTTTATTTTTGTCTAATGCAAGTGTCAGATTTGAATGGACTGGAGAGGCCAATGAAGAATCATAGAATTTGAGAACCATAAAAAGTTTGTAGACTTAGTCTAAGACTTTTTTACAGATAAGAAAATTGAAGCCCAGAGAAATAAAGTGGCATAAGTAGTGCTGTGTTATGGTAGAACCAAAATCCTGTCTCTGGACTCTCTAGGTCTGGGTTAGCCTAATGGTCATCTTTTTCTTTATACTCTCACCTTTTGGTCTTAAAGTTCTATGGGTTGGCCAAGATACTTATAGATGCCAATAAATACCAATTAATGCCTCTGTGATCATGAAACTGAAAAAATTCTAACTTCTTTAACAGGAAAAAAGTCAGTGATATCATTTCATGACTTCTTTTGCCCTAGGGCATGTGTTACCAGTGAGATAACTATTCAGGTGTCTTATGACATTACGTTTTCAGTTGCCGGAGGCTGAAGCGAGTTGTTACACAAGAGCACATAGTTGTATATTGTTCATTGAAGGAGTTTTGGGGGTGTGGAAGAGAGACTTGGAGGATTCACATGGCATTTGGTGCAGGTCTTAAGGCAAATAAAGTATGAAATAGGCTTTCAGCTGCTTATGTTGCAGAAGTTAGGACAGTTCAAAAGTTAATTCAGAAGGGTAGAAACACTTACAGCCAGCATGCAGTGCAACTGATATTTTTTTGCAAGGGGCAAGCTACCCACCTGCATTTTAAAAAATGTATTCCTATTATCTTTGCAGACATTAGTAAAACCTATAAAACCTATAACCATCCCCATGTGTCACAAAAGGCACTATGATCCTTGTGTAGCGTGTAGAAGAATTTTGTCAACTGCATTGAGTTGATTTTTATTGCTTTTGGCTTGGTTTTTTATTTTCTCTGCATATGTTCATAATTTTTAATTTAATGATATCTTTGTATATCACCCTCATTTATGAATGTACCTGTTCCCTTCCCCTTCCTTCCCTTTAACAAAGAATAAAAGAGACAGAAAAAAAGCAGTTCAGCATACCTAATCAGCACGTTCAGCAAGACCTAGTGTATATGCAACATCCTACATCAATAGTCTCTCACCTGCAAAGAAAGGGATGGGGGATGTATTTTCTGATTTTTTTTCCACTTCAGGTCAATTTGCTTTAACCCCCCCCCCAAAAAAAACCCCTCATTTTTCTTACATGTCTTTAAGGAAATGGTTCTACTTAGCAGAACCTAATCGTGGAGTAGTTATTGGGTTATTTTATGATAAATTAAATGCCAATATTTCTCTCTTTGGTTTTGTTTTTCTCATGTCCCTTCAACCCATGTGATAGGATTAGTTAGGGAACAAGACAAGTTTAGATCCTGTCCACGAGCCTGGAGTAGCTTCTGATGTCCTTTGGAAGATTAGGACACCCTATTAGGGATATTTTCCACAATTGAGAGACAAAAAGAAAACCCAAACTTGTTGCTTCTTGTTCTTGAATTAGTAGTGATTTGCAGAATGCCAGATGGTAGGAGGGTCATAGAGGGTCCCATAGAGGGTCATGATACCATATCTTGTGGGATGGATGTCTATTGGATCTCTTCAGGACTTGTGTAGTGGCCACAGACCATCCCCTTATTTTGCTTGCCTCATCTAGGCTCAATTAGAAGGCCCCTCTGAATTGCTGAAGGTAGAAATTAGAAATAGATCAAAGAAATTTTCCTGCCTATGTAGTTCACTCACAGGACTCCTTGAATATTGGGTAGGCCAATTCATATTGTAATTTGGCGAGAGCAGTTAGGAACTGGATTCTAGTGAGATTCTTTTGTCTTCTGTGCAAATAGGTTGGATCACTGTGAAATCCATTTTTCAGTCTTCCATCTTGACAAGTCGTATTTGCAAATATCAGTTGATCATCTTGTTGATTATTGTTCTTTCACTTGGAGGTGTAGATAGTTAAGATATGTCTCTGTGTTACTGATTTCGTCCACCGGGAGCTGACCGTGGTCACTCACTGTATGCCAGGAGGGAGTCTTGGAGCCAAGAGGCTCAGTTAGAAACACAGCTGCCTATACCGCAGGTGCTATTTTTAGCTCAATCCAGGCATGGTCAGACTTAGTCCCTTGTTCAAGCTGGTCACTTTTCCTTTCTGTTTTTTCCTTAGGATACGAGGATGTTTCAGAAACAAAGCTGAAAGCTCATATGGTCCATGCTCCCAAACATGTGCAGGAAAAGCATCCTGTACCCATTAGAAGAAAAAGAAGTATTGGTAAGAAACAACAAGGACTTGGTTCCCCCCCCAATAGTAAAAATAACAACTAACATTTATTTATATAGCAATATGAGGTATCCCCAAAGTTTTAACACTATTTAGGCTTTTATTAGACTAAATGAGCTTAAAGAGCTTTTGAAGCTTAAAATGACCCTAAGACTTCTGGGATACCCTGTATAAAGTTTGCAAAATGTTTTAAATATAAAATGAGGGTGCCCCTAATGGGCAGATTGTTGATAAGGGGGGTAGTATTGAAAGAGGCAGGAAGAGATAATGGAAAAGGAAGAACTCTGAACCTGGGGATCAGGATACCTTGGTTCTAAAGGTGAAGTAGGAAGAACAGAGGATTTGGAGTTCATGTTCTGACTTCTAATCCTAACTTCTACTCATTGTGTGACTTTGAGGAAATTAAGTGACTCAGGGGTTAGGGTGCTGGGCCTAGAGTCAGGAAGACCTGAGTTCAAATCCAGCCTCAGACACTTACTATCTGTGTGACCCCGGGCAAGTTACATAACCTCTGTTTGCTTCAGCTTCTCCAATTGTAAAGTTAGGGGGCAGGAAGAGGGGAAAGGTGGCAGATAACATCATTACCTACTTCCCAGGGTTGTTTGAGGGTCAATCAAATGAGATTTGTAAAGTGCTTAACAGGATACCTAGCACTAAGTAGGTGCTATATAAATGCTTTCCTTCTCCTTGGTTAAGTCAGTTCACCTCACTGGGTTCTCCGGTTTCCTCATCTCTCAAATCTGAAGGTTTTTGTACATAACTTCCCAAAGTCCTTTCCAGCCCTAAATCTTATGATTCTAGAATCTTGTCTCTACTACTAATTTTGTGACCAGGTCAGATTAGAAGGGGCCTATGTGTTGCTTTCCAAGGCCTCTTTCTGCTTTAACTTTCTCTGATTAAATGAAAATTCTCCATTTGTTTTTGTGGGTAACTCCCTCCCCAACCACAGCCTTCTCACTGCTACAGTGATTTGGTGAACAATGAGTCCAAGACAGATGAGCATGAATAAATTCTTTCAGTGCCTTGTCTTGTTGCAGCGTGTTAGAGAGTAGACCTCAGTTGGAAAATGTGGTTGTATGTAATTTCCAATTCATAACATGGAGCACACAGAGTGCTTACAGCTATTAGCTTCAGAACAGTAGGGTACACAGTAGTACAGACACTCTGGAAAAGTGGGCAACTTGCCTCTTTTCTGTGTTTTCTTCCAATCACATCTTTTCCAAAATGCAGCTTGAATGGCTGGCTGTGGGGGCTTTATCAGCTCTGTCATTGTGCAAGAAAACAGCACAAATTTCCAGGACATTTATTTTCATACCATTTTTTCCCCAAGTTGTGGGTGTCTGGCTACATTTAGAAAATGCCAGCTGTTTCAGAAAGAGTATGTGTGTATGTGAGATATTGGCTTCTGTCTTATTAGTGCTGGTAACCCTTTGTGAGGGGTTTGGGAGAGGTAATATAGGGGACCTTGATGGTGGGAATTGGGAATTTGGAATTTTGATTTCCAATCAGGATCTTGAGGTTCATGTCCGTACAATGTCCTCAATTGATGGGGCTGCTCTCTGCCTCTTGGGCTGTAACAAAGATGCCACAGAGGCAGTATTTCTTTCTAGATTGCTGGGGATGGCAATACTTGAAGAATCAAGTGTATCACTAGCTCTCTTGTATCTGTGAAATTGATTTGTTTTTGAATCCAAGTGTAAAGATTCACATTTAGCCCTTTTTGACTTTAGCTTATTAAAAATTTAGTTCAATGGCCCGAGGCCAATTAAAGATGTTTTTGAATCATTACTCTGACATCTAGTAAAGAGCTATCCTTCCTGGCTTCCTGTCTGAGAAACATGCCATCTAAATATTGGTCTACCTAAGTCATTGGGACCAAGTACACAGATAGCTCACTGGAGCACTTCACTGGGTAGTTGCTTATGAATTAACATGTACCACCAGTGACCCTTTGAGTCTTGTCATTTTACCAGTTCTGAAGCCATCTAATGATACTATTTAGTGCATCCCTCTCTATTTAGCTGTGTACCTCACTTGATTCAGTAGGTATATCCTGGGGAAAAGATTCCTTTAAGTTTTCGTAAATGGAATAATTTTAAATACACTATGAGTATCATCTACATAAATATATGATTAGTTAATCAGTCAATACATATTGTTAATATGTATTAGATGTTCAGCCCTGAGTTAGGCCCTTTGAAGGATATGGTAGATTTAGAATAAATAAGCTTAGTACCTGCTCTCAGTGTCCTTATAAATCCAGCTGGGGAGGCAAGATAATGTATGAAACAGTCAACAATAGAGATAAAAACATAATACTGAAAAGGCTGAATCCTATCAGACAGGATGAGTGGTATGGTAATTTAGAATACCTCCACTAAGAGGGAATCCACTATCTCTCTAGTGAACCCGTTGAATAAACATGAAAGTCATAGATTTAGAGTAGGTAAGGACTTTCAAAGTTATCTAGTCTAACTGCCTTATTTTGTAATCAAGGATATGAAGTTTCATAGAGGGGAAATGACTTGTCCAAGGTTACTTATATAGTCAGTGGAAGATTCAGGATTTAAACCGATGACCTGTTGACTTCCAATCCTGTTCTATTTCTAGGAAACTATATTGCTTCTTCCTCCTTTTCTTTTATCCTTACATCAGAATTGACATTTGGGCTTTACTTAATAGCTATAGCTATAACACCTAGTGGCTTGCCTCTAGGGTTGGGGGGGGAGACATCATCTAAGATGAATACATTTCATATTCGCTTCTAAATAAATGAGTTAGTACCAGTCACATTTTCTCCCTACTCTTAGTCTAATTAGGGTCACAAGTTTGACTGATAATGGACAGCGTACTCTGACTCAAGTCTTAGCTAGCATTTAAAAAAAAATGTTATTATATAATGTCTGCCAGCCAGAGAACAGCTGAGCACTCTTAAGTTCTGGCCACATTTCCCACTAATGCACTTAGATTAAGGTGTAAACTTGAGCTTGGTTAGAAGGATTTCTCTCTCAGTTAACCTGTTTTTGGCATTCTCTGAGAGTTCCTCAGGGTTCCAGGTTGTACAGATCAATCTGTACCATTTCAGCTGCCACACTTGGTAGAGAAGAGCAGAAAATAGTCTATTCCTTAGAAATGATGGCTCTTGCACGATGTGGAAGTGTTAGACCTATGTGTTGAAAGTTATCATGCCTCTTACTCAACCCATTGCTGGTTTCAGTGAAATTCAGGAAAATCTTTATCAAACAACTCATTAAAAATTTCATATATGTATATATGTCTCTATGTATGTGCACACACACACACATACATGTATATGTATATGTGTATGTACATATATACATATACATGTATATATAGAATAGTGTGTGTATTCATCCTGCACACTGATGCCAGACAAATTTTCCTAGACTATTGCTTTCTCTTTGCCACTCTTTTCCTCAAAAGCTTACAGTGGTTCCATGTTGCCTACAAAATCAAGTCCAAACTCCTCTTCCTAGCATTTAGGTTTCTCTATAACCTGTTCAAAATCTTGATCTGGCTATAGTTGTCTCCCATTTACATTTACTCTCCAGTGTGCACCCTTTGATCCAGCCAGTCAAGTCAGATTTTCCTCAGTGTTCTCTATACAAGGCATTTGACCCTTCAGCCCTTATCCCCTTACACTTACTCTGGAACATCTTTTTTTTTTTTTCCCTCCCATGGCCAGGAATTCTGCCTATCCTCTTTCATGAAGTCTTAGCTACATTAAGTCTTACCCTTATAACTTTAACCAACATTCATCTCCTCTGACTATTCAAGCTATGCATTTTGGGCACTTAGAATCAGATCTGGAAAGGAACTTACAGTTTGAGTTCATGCCTCTTATTTCCAGAGGAGGAAACTAAGGTCCCAAGATGGAAGATGCCCCAAAATTTTTGCCCACTTTTCTTTAAAGGAGACTGGTGAGATTAAGACTGGTATATCTTGCTATACTTTTGAAGTGGACTTTTAATTTTTCTAATACCTCTACTTTTTAGGTGGAAATTTAGCTTGGTCATTTTAAATAAAAACAGTTTTTGGCCAAGGTTTTTACTTGTAGAGTGTAACTGTTGACACTGAATAGAAAACTTGACATAAAGCATTCAAAGTCATAAAATGGAGTCCAGAAGGACCCCTCCTCAAGTTATTAACATTTCCCCTTGAAATTATGTTGTATTACAGTGTACATTTCTGCTTATGGTATTCTCCTAATAGAATGTAAGCATCCTGAGCACAGGGGTTGTTTCATTTTTATATCCCCTTTCTTGGGGTCTCGAACAGTGTCTGGCACATAGGAAGCACTTAATGAATAATTGTTGACTAATAAATCAATTGTTTCCCCTGCAAGTCCTAGCCAATGCCACTGATCATATAACTAGCAAATATGAGAGCTAAAGTAGAACTCTGATATCTGTCCCACTCTTTGTAGGGCTTCTATCATATTACTATAGTTATCAAATTATTATTGTACCTTATCATATTCAGTTTTTTGATGGACCTATTTCTTTTCATACCAAATAGATTATAAACTCCTTCAGGGCAGGGATTTTTATCTTCTACTTTTGTACCCCACAACTCAGTTCAGTGCTGGATAAAAGTGCCCAGAGAACATTTAGGATCATAGATTTAAAGGTAGAAGGGACTTAAGAGTTTTTCTAGTTCAGGCTTCTCATTTTAGAGATGACAAAATGGGTCTAGAGATGGGTAGCAACTTGCTAAAATTCATATGGTTAACAACAAGCAAATACTAGATTCGGACATGAGGTGCAGATCTAGGTTCTCTGACTCGATATTTGATAGTCAGTGTATTTTCTACTTATTAAATCTGTCTGGGCCATAAGATGACCTCTAATAAAGCTCACTGAACTGTGTAGAAACCTTGGCCTGCTGGGAAGCACCTTGTATTACCATTCTGAGTCACTTTCTCATTCAGGGTGTTTTCTCTGGTTATACAGGAGTGACCAGGATAGGGGTCTAGATTTGAATCGAGGAGGAAATTTAAGAGACCCTTGCATTCAACCCTCCTATTTTACAGATGAAGACACTGAGACACAGAAAAATGAAGCGACTTGACCTGAAGTCACACAGCACCTGAGTGTTTGAACCCAGGTCTTCCTAATTCAATTCCAGTTCTCTATCCTGTAGGCCAAGGGTTTGACAACTTCAAGTTTGAAAAAGTTTCAAGGGGGCAACTAGGTGGTGCACTAGATAGAGCACTGGCCCTGAAGTCAGGAGGACCTGAGTTCAAATCTGGCCTCAGACCAAACACCTGACACTTACTAGCTGTGTGACCCTGGGCAAGTCACTTAACCCCAATTGCCTAAAAAAAAAAGTTTCAAAAGACTGCACTTGAGGACTTAGAGGGCTACTTGTGGCCTCCAGGGTAAAGATTCCTCACCCATGTTAGGATATGCTGAATGACATGGGACTAAATGAGGTGTTAGGACATGCTGAATAAGGTGGGACTAAAAATGTAGACCCATGCATCATAGCTGTATTGATCCAGGGGGAAGATGTCAACTCAGTCATTTTTGCCATCTCTCCTTGGTGTGCTTGTTTGTGTGTGTGTGTGTGTGTGTGTGTGTGTGTGTGTGTGTGTGTGACTGTGACTGTTCATTCACTTGTAGCTCTTGTTTCTGCAGAGGAAGCTGTTCCTGCTGTTTGTAAAACAAGAACGGTTATTTATGAGATACCACGGAGTCAGATTGATCCCACATCGGCCAACTTCCTGATCTGGCCTCCGTGTGTGGAGGTCAGACGATGCACAGGCTGCTGTAACACCAGCAGTGTCAAATGCCAGCCTTCACGGATCCACCACAGAAGTGTCAAGGTGAGGGGACTTGCTCACTCCACTTCTTCCCTGGGTACAATCTGGGGAAGGGGAAGTAAAGGGTCTACCATAGATGGGGCTTTGTGTTACAACATGGCCATATTTTTTGACAGTTGTGCATAAACCAAATCTTGTTTCTTACCCATCTAAAGTCATATGACTAATTGACTGGGAAGAACTGTGAAAAGTGCAAATAGGAAGTCTTAATTGTCTTCAAGGTACCTTTTGTCTTTCTGATTACTCTTCCATTGCAATATCTTCTAATATTTGTTTTACTAAATTCTACCTCTCACAGCCCAGATTCTGTGCTAGCAGTCCCTCTTAATTCTCAAGTCTTCACTCTGTTAATTATTTCCTTTTAATGATAAAGCTTGTTTTGTACATAATGGTTTGCATGCTGTCTCTCTCATTACATTGTGAGCTGCTCAAGGGCAAAGACTGTCTTTTGCCTTTCTTTGCTTCCTCTCTACTTAGCAGTGTCTGTCACCCAGTAGGTGCTTAATGCATTCTTATTGAGGACTGTTGATGATCTATAGTTAGCCACTAAAAAGAACCTGCTGTTGCAAAGGATACTTGTAGTTTCTAAGTTTTTCAAGTCCTAATTTTGATAAAGTACTCTGGAATTGGATCTCAGAGTCTTTGGTTTATGGGGAATTCACTGGCTGTAAGTCTTGAGAACTGCATACTCTGTTGGACACAGCAGTGCCTTTTGCAAGGTCTTTATCTGAGGACCCATTTCTACTGCACCCAAGAGTTAAGTTGAGCTCCCTTCCCTGGCCTGTCAGAGATCGTGACATTGCCTTCCTTACCTTCTTCCCCCCCACCCCCCACAAGAGGGGATGACTAGTTTTCTCTTGATTAGTGGAAATTAGCTTAGCATAGGTCCAACCCTATTCTCTGTCCCCTGTTGAATGATGGTCAACACCAGTGAGAGCTGCCCAGAATTAAGGAAACATGTTTGGTTCATTCTCAGCTGTATCAGGAGGCATTGGTGGGGAGGGGGGGGAGAGGGCAGGGAGTGGATGAGGAGGTTTCTGGAGGTAATTTTTAACTTACTGATAATTCATGGTACATCACAACTCACTGATGGTATGCATAGAGAAAAGCTGTTCCTTTCAAGGGTTTTAGGGAAAGGGCACCTAGCACTGCCTGCTTAACTTTGCCAAAGACGAATTAATTCAAGGGATGGTTTCTTCTTGTTGTACATTGTGAGGCAGGATGGGGCAACATATAGGTCATTGAATTTGAGAGTTGAAAAGCCCTGGGTTCAATTACTACATTACTGCTGACTCTCTGTTGGACCTAACCTCTATAGTACCTTTCTACTTTGTTTAAATCTATGATCTTATAACCACTCAATTACAGATGGGATTTGGGATGTGGCATATAGAGTCTAGGATGTTTAAACCCTGGCATGACCATTGAATCTCTTATTTGAGCCCACATAGTTTCCTTAACTTTTCTAGGTCTCAGTTTTCATAAAATGGGGCTAGAAATATGTTTCTACTTATTTCCTTAGAAATATGACTACTTATTTCCACTTATTGGCTTTGGACAAGTTAACCTCTTGACCTTAGTTTTCCTCATCTATAAAATGAGGGGGTTGGGGATGTTACTTCTCTTGTGTGGAAATGTGTATGTCATCCCACTCAACTCCAGAAGGGATAATTCTTTAGCCTGCTATCAGATAGGTGCTACTTTGCATAAGGCCCATGATCTTTGAGGAACGTTGAAATTCTTAATGTTGGTCCTATTAAGAATGAATTCAGAGAAGCTGTGGGTTGTGGCCAGGTGTGAGCAGGTGCAGGAATCCTCAGTGGCTATTTCCCTGGACAGTTGAACTGTCCCAGAAAGGAAATTAGGAACCAGTGAAATGTCCAAGGTTGTAAAGCCACCTGAAACAGCTCAAAAATTTCTCTACTTCAGGGACAGGAGAAGGGCTTGTTGTCCTGTAGCAGAGATTGTGTGTATATGTATAGCCCATTGACCTTGGATTGATGTGTATTTCTGAACAAAGGGTCTGCTGAAAATATTTTGAGACTTCTAGTTTCATATATTAGCTTTGCTTCAAACTTGCTGACCATTTGAGTCATCTCCCCTCCCTCCCTTCCTCCCTCCATCCATCCCAGGGATCCATCCTTCCATAAATCTATACCATTCAAACACAGCCCTCATTTTAGGCCAATAACAACCCATCAAGATACTTTAAATCGTATTTTCTTAATTGAATACCACATGATTTAACAGGCATTTATTTGTAATGTAGAGGCATTTGGGAAGAATCAAAATGTGTCATGGGGCTATCTTGGTCTCTGGGGAGGTGTATTGAGAAAGTAATTTCTATTTCTGCTGCAAGATCTTTCAGAACTCCCTTTAAAAGCAAAGCAAATAAAAGAAAGAAAGAAAGAAAAGGATGTGTGAAACATGTGATGCTTTTGGCCGACGTTTTCCCAATGACCTCTAGAGTGCTTGCCTGCAAAGCCCAATCTCTTGCCTTAGAAGATTGCTTTTTGGGGAAGGGGGGAAGGAGTGTGGGGCCACCCATAAGGACAGCCTTATCAGGCAGCTGCCCTTGGAGGAGTCTTTTGTGATTGAGGTGTCACCATTAAAGCTGTTGGCTAGCTGCTCCTGTCCAGCAGAGACTGCCAATCCTCTTAGATCTTCCTAGAGACATAGAGTTGGAAAGAGGCTTTAGAGTTGGTCAATCCAGCTCGGTCATTTTACACAGGAGAAAACAGAAGCTCACCAAGGTTTAAATGACTCACTTGTTAGTAAGACTTGGGCATATGCTATTAGCAGATTTAATTAAGAATGGCATTCCTTGTGCCTGCCTCCTCATCCTATTCTTTTTCTTTATTTTTGGTTTGCCACAGGGATTTATTTGTGCACTGGAGTCCCTGTCACTCCCTCCCTGCTTCTGATCAGTGAAGCCCCTCCCACTTTATTTTCCTAGTTAATATCTTTGCAAGCCACCCTCATTCATAGATGGAAAACTTTACCTTGGTTTTCTGTCCAAACTCTTATTATCTGAAAAGAGGATGGTAGTTTTTGGGATGTAGAATGAAAGTTTCTCGTGCTGCCAATAGGTGTTAAGACCAAAGAAAGTCAGAACTTAGTAGGACTGACTGTGGAGGTGGTGGGGAAGAAGAATCCTCTGATCCAACTTTAGTGTTGGTGTGACCCTTACTTCTAAAGATCTATTTGCACCTGAACTTAATTCTTTTTAGATACGTTTTATTTTGGGGGCATGACAGGCTTTCCGAATTATTCCCTCCTGCAAAGGACATTCCCCTGACTAGTTGTCAATAGGAAGGAGGAAGGTGTGCTTAAAATCATTCTACATGGCAGGAGATATTTGAAAGATGTAAGAAAAGGAATTCTCTTTATTTCTCATGTTTTCAAATTTATAAATGTTGGACATTGGGTTAAACCAGCATCAGGGTTACTAGGACAATTTTCCCTTCTTCCTCTGGCTCCGGGGGCACACATACTTGTAGCCCATGGGACACAGCTTGAAACTTGACCTTTCTTTGGTTTTATCAAGTGGTGCAGCTGCTTCAGGCTGGTGTGTATTTTAATGTGAGGTCCCTGACTCCTCTGACTTGAATGCCTTTTACAACCCATATCTCCCACCCAGATGTACTACAAGTGATGGCCTAAGCATTTGCACCTGTCTCCCCCATTATTTTAGATTACTGTAGGTTTCTGCAGTTACTGCAAAGGGTCTGGAAATCCATTTGTACACTAAGCACTGTTGTTTTTTTTTGTTGTGTATTTTCACAATCAGTTGATAATCTTAGTGTAAAACTGCTTAGCTGGAGGGCTCCTCAATTCATTGACCTTAAAATACTGTCTTCATAATTTTCAAGCATTTATTAAGTGGCAACTATTTGGAAGGCACTCTACCATACTAGGGAAATGGAAGTTGAGTACTATCGTTTTAGATGTGGAATGTCAGCCATGAAGTTGGCATGTAAATATACTTCATGATGGCATCTGTAGTGTTAACATTATGGGTTTCTGTCCTTTACTTAATGTACCTTTCCAGACCTGGGATCTTGATCCACTCTGATAAAAAATGCACAGCATGATTCCCCATGAGTTAATGGAAGAGAGGGTACCAAACTAAAAATTAATAGGTCTCTTTCCCTTTTCTGTGATATGCAATTTATCCAAGACAAGTCACACAGCCTTCCTTTTTGCTTTGATTTTTTTTTTTACTTTCAAAGAGTTAAAATCATCCCATATTCAAGGACTGATCCCATGGCCATTTTCTCATTCAATTCTTCCTAAGTAAATACCCCAGGGCACTTTGGCCTTCTTAGCCCATCCGTAGCTGCCACCCACCCAATACTAAACAGGACCTTCTGAAGAAAACATCTGGCCCCAAACACTCATGAGTCTTCACATAGAAGAGGACAAGAGGTCAGCAGGGAACAGGATACTTATTGTAGAGGCTGCATATTTGTTGCCCCTCTTAGTCTTTCCCGGATAGTGTCCTTACACCAGAACTCATTATACAGACTCCATATTGATTCACTGCAAATGTCAGACACTGGTGAGCTCTGATATAATGAATTGTTTTAGGCATTTCATTCAGCCTCTTTCTGGATGTTCCATATTTGGAACTGAATGCCTTTGTCTTTCTTACCCAACCCTACCCGGGGGTCATAGGGAAGGTAGTAGGGAAGTGATGGTTAGAGGGTTGATGTGGGCTATTCCTGGAAAGCAGCTGAGGATATGATCAGGTTTAGGCGTTGTGGCCAGTTCTCTCTCCCCCTCCCCCTTTGTAAAACATTTTTTGAATAAATATGGTCTTTTGATTAAAATTCTAAAAGGCCTTTAAGAAAACAAACAAACAAACAACAACCCGGCAGTGAGTTCATGGGCCTGTCAGTTCTCTAAGAACTTGTCACACTGGAAAAAATGTCCGGGCATAAAGGTCAGTTCCGCCACGTTACACAAGGGGCCAGACCAAAACTTGCTTCCTTACTGTTTATTGACAAAGTGATTATGGCTTCTAGATGTGATGACTTTTAATCTTTGTTTCATCGGGAAGGCACCTGTGTCAAGGACCCTCACTTAGAAGGGCCTTAGTTCACCCATTGACAGTTGTTTCTCCTGACTGGTAGGGGTAATGTTTGACATTTATTTATAGAATGTGGTGCCAGAAATGTGTTGCATCTCTTCCCCTGAAAGAGTCTTTGTTTTAGGCTTTCTTGATTTTCCATGACTGGGCTCTATTTAACAAGAGGGCTTGGCCAGTTCCCACTGAAGTCCAGGGGTGGAGTTGTCCACTGTGCCCACATCCTCTGACCCCTACCCATTTCTACTGCCTTGAAGAATCTCTGTTTTTTTTTTCTTAAATTCCTTTTCTTGGTGTTTGCGCAGTCTCTATAGCTACTGGGGTTGCTGGCCGGTCAAGAATGGTGGAACAGCTTGGTGGTATAATGAATAGAATATTGGCTGTGGAGTAAGGCTCAAATCCTGCCTCAAACACTCAGACCTTGGGCAAGTAACCTTTCTGAGTCTCAGTTTCCTCATCTATAAAATGGGGATAATAGTATCACTACTTCAGAGTTCTTAAGAGAATCAAATCAGATAGTATATGTAAGGCACTAATATTACTAGCTCTCTACCTGAATATTAGATAAAATTATGATGATCATAATGATAATTGTCATGATCTTTGTCATCATCATTATCATTATTTTTATAAGGAATCTCTAATGGCCCATAAAGGACAAAAAAAAGATTTTTCTCCAAATTGAAGTTGACTTCCCTCACTGGTGGGTAGATTGGGAGCTAGCTATATCTGTGGTCCACTTATTTTGGCCAGATTACTTTGAATTCCAACTGCCATGTATCTTGTTGGTTTTTAGGTCCTAAGAGGGGAAGTGACTTGCACTGGACTTACACATCTCAGTGACAGAGCTGGGCCTCAGTTTCCTCTTACTATATTAAGTGGAGGTTTTGGACTAGATGATCTCTACAATTCCTAGCCTTAGACTTTATTCTCCATCCTACACTCTATGTATCTATGCTGGCCTACTTGTGCTTTCTTGAATATGACCTTCCATTCCCCATGCCGGAGATGGACACTTCATTGGCTATCTCCCAAGTTTGCAATGCTCTCCTCCTTCAACTTGGATTTTTTGTTTTCTTGGCTATCTCCAAGACTTGGCTCAAATCCCACCTTCTATAGGTATTCTTTCCTATTCCTTCTACCTGCTAGTATCTTCCTTTCTCAGATTGCCTTCTAAATAGTCTATAGTCATAGTGGAAAGAATGCCAAACCAGGAGTCAGGGACACTCATGTTTCTGAGTTCAAATGTGACCTCCGACACTTAACTAGCTGTGTGACCCTGGGCAAGTCATTTAATCCTGTTTGCTTCAGTTTCCTCATCTGTAAAATGAGCTGGAGAAGGAAATGGCAAACCACTCCAGTATCTTTGCCAAGAAAACCCCACATGGGATCATGAAGAGTCAGAAATGACTGAAAAATGACTGAACCAACAGCAAGAAGTCTGATCTTGTTACTTATATGTTATCTCCCCATTAGAACATGAATTCCTTGAGGACAGGGACTGATTTTTGCCCTTATTTGTATCCCCAGTGCTTCGGGCAGGGTCTGCCACATAGTAAGCACTTACTGAGGGCTTGCTGACTGATTTACAGATTGGTTTTGATATAGTGTCTCTCCCCTCCTTCCCCTAATCCTTCCAAGTGGGGAGCAGTTGGCGATAGAATGAACTGAGCTTTGGAAGTCTTTAATGACCATGTACTTGATCTTCCTAGCCAGGTATTTGTTACTGGGGTAGCCTGAGAATATTGTTCCCTTAATTGGCCTGTTGTAAAGATAATGCTGCTGAATTCCTCTGTGCCATAAAGGCTGCTGGTGGGCAAGTGTGGTGGTTAGGATTTAAAAATGGTTCTGTGGCACTCCTTTCCATATAGCCTTGTTATTTTACTGAACAGTAATCTGTTCAGCTAGATCAGCTAAGAGTCACTCAAGGGGCAGAGGGCAGAGAACTGGGAAGTTGGGAGTGAAGAAGCCCGGTTTGTGATTATATTATTAATTGTTGATGGTGACCCAGAATTTCAGATCTGTAACAGAACTACTCACAGTAACCTTCAGAGAAAATCTAACCTAATTGTTCCCCAGTTCTCCCTCCATCCCCCCTAATCTTCCCATTTTATAGATGAGAAAACTGAGACCCAGAGAAAGGGGAACTGATTTACCTATATCCTAGGTAACACAGCTAGACTGTACAGATCTAGGACAACAATTCAGGTCGCCTGGCTTTCTAGTTCAGTGTTTTCTACCCCACACCACCCTGTACCACCCTGTTAGCACAAGAGAAATGAATGATCTTTTAGTTCAACTACTATTCCGTAACTGCCAACACCCTTATTTCCTTCCTTCGTTTCTTCCTCTCACTGTCTTCCTTCCTTCCTTCCAATTGAGGTTAAGTGATTTGCCCAGGGTCATGCAGCTAGTAAGTATCTGAGGTCAGATTTGAGGTCACATTTGAACTCAGATCCTCTTGATTCAGAGGCCAGTGCTTTATCCACTGCACCACCTAGCTGCCCCTGTCACCCTTATTTCTGAGTATAATCCTCTCCACTCTGAGATTGGGCACAGTCATTGAGGAGTAATAAAATCATAAGATCATAGATTTAAAGTTGAAAGGTATATCTGATAGTCAACCCCTTGATTTTGTAGCCGAGGAAACTTGGAACCCACAGTTAAATGATTTGTCCCATATTGTATAGTAAGGGCTAGCAGCTATAGAATTTGAACTGAGACCTTCAGACTTCAAAGCTTGCACTTTTCCTACCTTATTGTGTGGGCTCCCATCTGTGCTATGTTCTGGGCTTCTTAGAAGAGCTGAGCCTTGAGTCTCCAATTGTAACTACTAATTAAGTAAAAAAAAAAGTAGGCCTTATTCACTGTAAATATGCCTCTCTTTAGATTCTACCTGGAAATGAATGAATGACAAAGCATTTATTAAAGTCTTACTGTGTGTCAAGTGCTGTGATGAAAGCATCCACAGGAAAATAGATATAGTCCCTGTCCTTAAGAAGCTTATATCTTATGGGGGGAGGTACATAAACAGCTGTGTTTGTTGTGAGTTGAGAGTTATGGCCAATAGAGTTTTTGATAAGTAAAGTGACAGGCATGGTGAGTGGAGCCATTGGGTGATAGATTGACACACCCTTTCAAGTAGTAATGATTTGATTATGACTCTGGTATTTGAAAAAAGGGGGTTTGGTGCAGAGGGTACATGTCAGGATGTGTCCCAGAACAGGAGTTATGATGTGGAAAAAGTAGATTTAAGGCCTTTGAGGTGTGGTCTCTGGTGCAAAGGTGAAGTGCTAGGATATTCATTGAGAAGATGCCCACATTTTCATTGAAATCCATTCAGAATTATGTATCTATAGTATATGGCTGGTAGTATATAGAGCTACAGACCTTCATTAGTATACCTTAAGCAATCATGAAGCCAACAGACAAAATACATTGCATAGCATTCAGGTAGGTAAGGAGGGATGTTTAGATGAAAGCTTATGAGTTAATGAGCCTGCCACCCATTTGTGCTTGGCAGTCCTGTGGCTCTTTGGAAAGAGTAAAGGATAGATAGCCAGGCTCAGTTTTCTTGGTCACATTTAGAGGCTTTTCAAAGCACTGGGTCCCAAAGAATCCAACTGGTTCGTGATAATGTGTTTGCCATTTGATACAAATCAGGAACTTAATTAGTGCTAAGTACATAATCCTGAAACATGTATTACTGAGCTTGGCAGTAAAGGCTAAAAAATTGGAATTAAGGACCAAGTGATAAACATATATATTTTTTAGAATTTTTAGGTCTAAAGGACACTCTTCTCTATGGATTCTTTGGTCCCTCTCTGTTTTTGGGTGTGTCCGTGCCTCTCTTCAATTCTCTTTAATATTTTCTGACAAAGCTTCTAGCAAAACAGCAGTTTTTTTCTTTTTAAATAGGTTTTTATTGATGTCTTGTTTTATATCACCAAAATTTCCCCCAGTATCCCTTCTCCTCCCCCATCAAAAGACCTGTATAACAAATAAGATTTGTAGTTGTTTTACTATCAGTTCCAATGTAAACCAATGAAACTTTTGACAGGGCCCTGGCATCAGGATTAACTTGTAGTTATGTTGACTAAGCTCATTTCAACCCCATCATTATGGGGATAGTGTTGGTGGCAGTGTGTGGGAGTATGGAACCTAGGTAGCAGATGGTAATTGACCATGTGTATTGGAGGTATGAATATTTTGAACATCATACACAGATTAGTACTTTTAAAACTTGAGGACTTTTTAGAAGCTGAAGGGATCTTAAAGATTAGCTAGTTCAACTACTTATTTTATAGATATGGAAAGTGAAGGCCTTGAATAAAGAAAGGACTTTAACCCAAAGTCACATACTTGGTTCAAGGCAGAGCTGGGTTGACAACTCCAGTTTCCTGATTGCTAGTAGGGGGTGCTCTCTGCCCATCACCTCTCATTCTTGGGAAATGTTGAGTCTTTTATTGAGCAGTTCCAATGAAAAATAACATTTCAGCCTAATAATCTTAAAGTCAGTTTTTTGAACAAACAGTGAGAAGCCTAAAGACAGAGATGTGGATATAAAATGCCACCTAATAATACAGAGCCTCATGAAAAAAGAATTGGGCATGTATGAGGGGTAGGGTTCCTCTTCATTGTCAGTTGACTCAAGGGTGCCCTCAGAGGGTTTTTGACTTGAAGATCCAGAAATTGGATCTTGGATGTTCCTAAACAAGGATATGAACCAGGTATGCATAAATAGAATAGAGCTCTAGAATGCAAGGAGGACATTTGTGATTCTCCAGTCCAGTCCTTTTGCCTTGCAGGTAAAGAACCTGAGGCTGGTAGGTGAAGTGACTTGTCCTCAGGGTCAGAAGGATAGTTAGTGGAAATACGAAGACCAGGAGTTTGAATGCAGATTGAAGCATACTATTTGCTATTTTTTTTCTTCTGTTTTGTTTTGTTTCCTCTTTCTGGTGGTTCCTCCTATTGATTCGAATTCTTCCATACAACATCACTAATGTGAAAATATGTTTAATAGGAATGGATACGTATAGCTTATATCAGATTGTGCACCCTCTTGGGGAGGGAGAAAATTTTTAAAATTCAAAAGCTTATGGGAAGTGATTGTTGATAAATCAAAATAAATTAATAATAAAAAAAGAAATACAAAGGTGAGGTTACAGCTGCCTTGATAATGGAAACATAGAAGTCATTGGTAAGGACTGGAAGAAAAGTAGGAGATGCTCTGTAATGAAAAAGAGACCTAGAAAACCTTTTGTCCTTGAATTTAGCATGGATTAGCATTTGGGGTTGAAGAAGATAGTGAGGTGACTCCAGGGAATAGTTGTGATCTGAGCTGCTCCAACTTGGAAAATCAGGTGTTTACCATACCACTTCATCCTGTTTTCTATTATATGTTACCAGGTGGAGGAAGAATTTTTAAACAATATGGTCTTGCTTGGTTAGACCACTATGCAGTCTTGTGGGCTCCTTGCATAAACATATATGAAGTGCTGGGGTTTTTGTTTGTTTTGTTTTTAAGTGGGACCTAGGAGAAGAATTTGATTTCTTAGACCAGCAGTGTCAAACTCAAATTGGATTAGGGGTGGGGGGGAGAACACTAAACCATGCACAGGGATCTGCTGGCACATATTAATTTAAAAAACCAACGTACATCTCTGTGCTGTACTGTATTTTCATTTCTTTTGTTAATTGTTTCCCATTTACGGTTTAATCTCGTTCTGGCTGAGTTGCCTGTGATGTTTGGCACCTTTGTCTTAGACTGATGGGGCCTATAACTCCTGATGTTTAACCACTGGCCTTAAGACCAGGTTGTTCTGGGTGCTGTTGTAAAAGTGTGAAGGTCATGTGCTCTTTGATGTGGGGTAAATCTATTGACCCATCTATTTTTGAATTCTGCCCATCAGGACTTCAGGGAGGGGGTGTGTATATAGAATCAGATACTCAGAAAAGAGATGGAAACATTGCTTGACCCTTTGTTGACCTTCCAGCCTAGTGGTGTTCTGCAGCCCAACCATACTAAATCTTTTCATATGGAGATCTGACAGCCTTGGAAATTGTCTTCAACCTGGGCCCTGCTGCTTCTAAGTCTTGAGTGCAGCACTTTTGTTTGCAGGGCGAAAGATGAGTAGCATGACCTTCTTGTTGATAAAAGGGGAAGTGATGGGGTGAGTTGGGTCTCTGAAGCTTCTCTTGACAGTTTCAGTAAGTTTGTTGTGTGTGTGTGTTGGAGGGGTTGTTGTGTTCATTTTACCCAGTGGAGTGTGGTGCCTGAGTTGTATAGTTGAGAAAGAAAGGGGAAAAAAACCACACACACAATGACAGGAATATTAGGAATTCACATGGCCAATAGCAGAAAATAAATATTTACTCTTTGGAGATTTAAAAGATTTTACTCAGAAAAAAACTACCCTTTCTTGGTTCAGTGGTTGTTACTATTTTTTTTTAGTACTCAGCCTTTCAGTTTTGTTTTTAAAAAATCTTATTTTTATTGATCTCTTTTGTCTTTATATCTCATGTATCTATGTTCTGCCTTCCCCCAACTAGAGAAACATCCCTTGTAACAAAAATTAAGAAAAGTGGTATCAGAAATAAACACCAACCATTTCTGAAGGTATATGTAGTATTCCCCCCCCCCCCCGCCCCAGTCCCTCCTGTATTCAGGGAGTTGTGGCTGAGGTACATTTTCTCAACTCTTCTCTAGGGTCAAGCTTTTTGGTTTCGTTTTTTCCTTATTGTTTACCAAAATGTTATAGTTGTTGTGTATATTTTTTCCTACTTCTGCTTGTTTACAATGTAGTCATTTATATTGTAGTCACTGGCTACATTTTTCTGCTTATTATACAATGTTTTCCTACTTCTGCTTATTTACAATGTGGTTATTATTTACAATGTGGTTATTGTATGTATTATAATCATTGTGTATATTGTTCTGCTTATTATACAATGTTGTACTTGTGCGTATTGTTTTACCCTCTGCATCAGTTTTTGTAGATCTTCCCATGCTTTTCTGAATTCTTGATCTTCATTGTTCTGGTCTGGCAATATGTTGCATTACATTCACATATCACAGTTTGTTTAGCCATTCCCCAGTCTACCTTGTATTGTATATTAATGCTTGAGTCTCAGACTACAAAATTGATTATTGTAATAATTTTTGTTCATTTGCGGAATTAGGCTGATGCTATAAGGGTCCTGATGCTTAGCATTTTGCTCTTTTCTTTCTGTAGTCATCCTTTCAGGGATATAGGGTAGAAGCAGCATAGGACACAGAGGTGGAGAGGACTTTTTAAGTCCAAATAGTCCGGTAGTGAACTTGAGCCAGTTTTAATTGGCTAGAGGTTTGTTCAATTTTCAGTGTGAGCATTTCACACCTTGGAAATCAGTACATGCTACATAGAAATCAGGGCTTGATTTATGATTTTGTTGATTGTCCAGAATTTAGAAAGTGATGGAGAAAATGTTAACAACGTAATTTAAACTTAAAAGGATGCTCTGCATGCATTTTTGCGTTGGAGAGCTAGCTGTCAAACATTTACCAGCACACACTGATCTAGGCTAACCTTCTCATTTTAAAGATGAAAAAACAGCCTCAGAAAGAAATGATTTTGCCTGAGGACACACAGATAGTAAGTGGCACAAGCAGAATTTGCATCTAGACTCCACTCTGACATTTTCCATTCTGACTTCCAAATCTCACATTCTTTCCACTATACCACACTCACCTAAGATGTTAGAACAGGAGTGCTGGTGTAGAAAATAGACGTAGGTAGTAATGGCCCTTGGGTGGGAAGTTTAACAAGAGCAGATTGCCTGGTGAGATAGGAAGTTCTCAGTCATTGCACACCATCTCCCCTTTAGACTGCGAGGTCCTTGAGTAAGAACTGTTTGCCTTTCTCTGTAACCCCAGTGCATAGTACGGTGCCTGGAACATCATGTTTGGTCAGGTCTGATGCTTTGTGATCACATTTGGGTTTTCTTTGCAAAAGTACTGGAGTGGTTTGCCATTTCCTTCTCCAGCACATTTTATAGATGAGGAAACTGAGGCTAACAGGGTTAAGTGACTTGCCCAGGGTTACACAGCTTGTAAGTATGTTAGGCCATATTTGAACTCAAGAAGATGAGTCTTCCTTACTCACAGGCCCAATTCTCTATCCACTGCACTGCCCAGTCTGGCATATTGTAGCTACTTAATGCTAGTTAACTGATTGTCTCTTTTCTTGGAATTGTTCATGCAGAGGCCATAGGATTATTCGATGACCACAATGTAGGAGTAAAAGGTAAAGATTTGGAATAGAATACCTTAAAGGTCGCTTCCAACTCAAGATGTCTATGATTCTGAGTACTGGGCATGGAAGCCTTTTCTCTACTTAGGTCATTAGATACCTCCTCAACATAGCAGTCATTTCTGAATATATTCCTTTTCATATCTCTTCCCCAGTGAGCCTTTCTCACTAACAAAGGGAAATATATAGTTAATTAAAACAACCAACATGCCAGCCAATTGAATGAGTATGAAATATTCTATATCCATATTCACCCATTTCTACCCACAAAAGAAAGAAGGTGAATATCTGGAGGTGGCTTTTCAGACCTAGGAAATGACGCCTCTGTGCCCCAGTCTTTCCTACTTTCTATCTTTAGGGAACTTCCAAAATTCTTTTTTGTTGCTTTTGTCCCTATGGGTCAGCAGCATGATTTACCTTTCTACAGGTCTTGGCAGTGGAGGCATAGGGTGAAAATATAGACTTGAATAGACATATGAAAGTTCCTTGCCTAGCCTATTAACACACCTAGAAATGTTCTTATTGTCCATGATCTTCTTTCCTCAGTCCTTGGATCTTACAGGGACCATATGGGTTAGCAGATATAGGTACAGCCTTAGTGTGAATACATAGAGGTCTGAGGTTGGATAGGAAGGAAGAAGTTTTCTTGCCATGTCCCTGCTCTCCTAATTTCTTTTGGGCTCAGGTTTCAAATCCAACTCTCTGGTTTGAAGGACCAATGTTGGTCAGAGGTTGCAAAGATCACTTGGGTAGAGCTTCCCAGCGAGGGAATACAGCGCAAATATAAATATGGCACAAGAGAAAAATAACCTTATTGTAGGCTAGGGCAGCATGCCTTAGGAGTGAGTGTCCATGTGAAAGTTTATTCTTAGAGAAATTTCATATAAAATGGGCTTGGTTGCCTCATAACTCCTATCTCCAAAATAGGACACAAAACAGCTACCACTCCCCAAGCCTTTAGTTTAGGGTCATATCATGTTTGGTTATATTACATGGCTAAATACCTTTTCACGTCTCCCTCAAAAGCCCTTTGCACCATCTCTGAGTTAACGATTAATGTAGCATGTGTATGTTTACTCCATGGACATCTTGAGATGTTACAGTGGAATCTTGTTCTAGCTGTGCCTACGTGCACAAAATGAGGTAGACAGTCTTGGCCATCCAGGTGATTCCGATGGCAAATTGGGATTGACTTAAACTTATTTGTACAATGGAAGTCATTGTGTCCATTTTCTGTTCACTTGTTGGGGAGCAACTTTTTCTTTAAAAGAAAAATCCAAGTGTCAGTTCCTCCTTACAAGGAAGGTGGAGGAAGTCCCATGGCAAGCATTTGGAGGAATTGGAAATGATTGTTGTCATCTTCCATTTTTAATTTACTTGGTTTTTTGACCCACAAAAGTCAGGTGGGTGTTGTTCATAGGCTCATAGATACAGTAAGTTATTTAGTAAACAAAGTGCTGAGGCTACAGTAAAGAGACAGAGCCTGCTTCAGGGAGCTCACAGTCTATGGGAGAGACAACATACAAACAATTATGTACAAACAAGTTATATACAAGATAAATTGAAGATAATTAACAGAGGGAAGGCACTAGACTTAGGAGGGGTTGGGAAAGGCTTTTTGTACAAGATGGCATTTTAGCTGGGACTTGAAAGAAGTCAGAGAAGCCAGGAGGTAGAGATGAGTAAAGAGGGCATTCCAAGCATGCGGAACAGCCATCGAAAATTCTCAGACTTGGGAAATAAAATACAATGGCTTGTTCTGAGGACCAGCTAAAAGGATTTCAGAGTATGTGGGGTAAAGGAGATGTAAGAATACTGGAAAGATGAGGCTGGCAGTTATTAAGAATTTTGGATGCCAAACAAGGATTTTTATGTTTGATCCTGGAAGTGATAGGAAGCCACTGGAATTTATTGGGGTGGGGGGGAAGGGGAGGCAAGTGTGACATGGTTAGACCTGTAATTTGGGAAGATGATGTTGGTTGATTTGTGGAGAGACTTGTGGCAGCAGACAACCAACAGTCTAAGCATGAGTTGATCAGGACCTATATAGATGGTGGTGGCGGTGGTGGTGGTGGGTGTCAGATTTAAAAGAGGATGGGTTTAAGATATTTTGAAGTTAAAATCTGATAGGCCTTGGTGGTGACAGATTAGATATGGAGGAGTGAGGGAGACTGAGGAGTCCCGCCAGGATGACCCTTAGGTTGTGGACCCAGGGGCACTGGGAGGATAGTGGTATCTTTGATAGAATAGGGAGGCTAAGGAGAGGGGAGAGTTTGTGGGGAAAGATAATGAGTTTAATGTTGAGTTTAATATTTAAGTCTATGGAACATCCAGTTTAAGATATCTATCTAATAGATGTTCTCTATCTCTCGTATTTTAGAAAAGTGTACTACAAGTTTGGAATGAACATACCCATGAGGATTAGGAGATAGACCTAGTTAGAGGAGAGGGGTTTTATTATGCTACAACAAGGGATCTCCAGTTGGCCTCTCCTTATGCTTACCAACTGGATTCTTAAATTTTTTCTTTTGATGTTATTGACCCCTTTGGTGGTTAAAGCCTTTGGACTCCTGATCAAAATAATGTTTTTAAATGCATAAAATAAAATATATAGGATTACAGAATAACCCCCCCCCAGGTAATTTTTTTCTTTCTCATTCAAGTTCACAGACTCCCTGGAATCTCTCTGTGGGCACTAGGTTAAGAACCTGTGTACTAGAGGGAAATATGGTTAGGTTAGCATAAGAAGGTGGCCCATTAGAGGGCCTTGAATAGCATACCAGGGTATTTCAGTGCCCTTAATTTTTCATGTGAAAGATAATGATCTCACAGATGGCTTGGAAATACCCTTGAATGAGGAAATGCTTTGCCAGATAGCAAGTGCTCTCCAGAAGTTCATTTAGCGCCATCTTGGTGCCTGGTTTTCCTAGCCTGTGAATGTGATTGTTGCAGGACCCTATTCAATATTGCATCAAGACAAGTGGACTCTGTTTAAAAGCCCAGGAGATTAAGATGGCTGAATTGTTTGGCATTTGGCCCATGATCTATGATGTGCCAATATGATTTTTTATCCCACAATTCCCTAAGGTCTTCCACTCGATTTTTTTGTACCTCAAATTCTTTGGGACAAAGAAAATAATTTTATTTTAGCACTGTCCCTGAAGGGTAATTGGAATTTTAAATGTTTTATTTCCATTTCCAGCTGCCACTTGGGGCCATTTAAGCCGATTGATTCATTCAGAACCTTCCATGGGTTGTCTCATCTAAAGATAGAGAACCTCAGTTTGGGTCTCATTATCTCAAAATGCCCTGAGTTCAGGCTCGCCCCAGATCTTAGAACCAAGGCCCTGTCTATTCTGGGTGGATGTTTCAGTCCTCTTGGGAACTGATTTCATCAGGCTGGGATTATGTGCCAGGGTCTTTGGCCTAAATTTCTGAAAACAAGCTGGAGGGGAATGTTGGGAAAACTGAAATCCTGATTATTTTTTTTCCTGTGTAGGTTGTTAATGTATTTGGCCAGGTCAACAGGCCTTAGTTATTTTCATTGGCTAACTGATTTAAATGAAAACAATGTGGTATGATATGCAGATCACAGGATGTTAAATAATGTATTTGCGCTACTACCTTCAAAAAGATGCCTTCTTCCATTTTGCTGGCTTTCCCGGCTGGTTCCAACCAAATGATTTCTATTCTATTGCATTTTGCTTTTTCTTAAAGCACATGCACACAAACCCAACTAGATCTCAAATATTTATCATCCTTAGAATATTTTTGGTCTTGATTTATTTTTTCAAAGCAGTGGGGATTTTGCTGGAAGGCAGCTAGATTGATTGGAAGTTTCAGAGGGCATCCTGTTTGGGATTCCATTTGGAAGTGAATGAAACTGGTTCTTCAGAATGGCTGCATCCTGGTTGGTGCTCCATGACCGGCTAGCTCTGCAATCTTATCGAAACTCTGTTAACAGAGTTCATTCTTTCTCAATATGTGACTGCTAAAGAGTGAAGCACCACTGTGGGTCTCACTGGTGTTTACTTTTTTATTTTGCAGGTGGCAAAAGTGGAATATGTTAGGAAAAAACCAAAATTAAAAGAAGTTCTAGTGAGGTTAGAAGAGCATTTGGAGTGCACCTGTATGTCGTCAAATTCTAATTCAGATTATCGAGAAGAAGAAACTGGTAAGTGGCCACCTTTTTGATGTGGATGCCTTTTTCATCTTTGTTTCCTGGGAGTCGGGGTATATGTTGGTGTGGGGTGATGCAGCAGAATTGTTAGGATACTTGGTGAATGCTGGAATTAGGTGGGGCATATACTTTTGAGCATATATGTCAGCTGTACTTTAACCTAAAGATTAACTCATGAAGAAATTGGAATTGAAGATTAATTATGGTGGAGAGGTAAGGGTGTGAGAGTAGAATGGGGGTGGGTGGTGAGGTCTTATCCAGGGTACAGCTAAAAATATGGCTGAAACCTGATTAGAGTAAGGGTTTGAGATGGAAAGGTGTGTTTTTTTTGTTTTTTGTTTTCCCCTTTTTTTTAATGAAAGTTAGCTTTTCAGGATTGTAGAGATGAAGGGGGATATTTTTTAACTTTAGGCTCCCAACTTCAGTCAGTTGAAACCTAGCTTTTTGTTGTGAGTGTTTGTTGATGAAGCAGCATGGTTTTATAATATACTCCTAAGGTCAGTTTGAAAAAAAAGATAGAATACAAGGAAGTACCTTAATGCAAAAGATTATCAAGTTTTCTTTCAGAATGATAAACATCTCAAGTATTTATTACTTCAGTTTTTAAGCAAACGGCATTCCCTTAGGGCTTTTCACCCTCCTTGCCCTTATGTTAACAGGAAGGCCTAGGGAAACAGGTAAAAAACGGAAAAGAAAAAAGTTAAAACCAACCTAAGGCCCACTGGAGCTATTTGGTAATCAGGTAGGACCTAAAAACTGGATACGCTGTAATCCCACAAACAATGGACAACTCAATCAAACTCTTTATCACACCAACTGAATCACTCTTCCAATCTTGACACTCGCTACCTGAAAACTGCAGAGATTAGATATGATTGGCTCTAATCGTTCTACCCTGCTGGTGTTTTCCCTTTAAGCTATCCGGAACCAATGGCCTCTTCCATCCCTTAACTCTGCCTTTCTTGCCTTTGTAAAGGCCCTAATTAATACTTGAGCTTCTGTGATCTGAAGTATCATTCCTCTGGCTTTTGTTTTCTGTTTTTACTGATTTGGAGGGTCAAAGCATCCTGTAACAATGCATGAATGGATTACAAGGTTGAAAATGGTTTGTATTTCAAAAGATTGGGCTATATACAAGTTGAATGTTTGGAAAAATCTCATTCTAGACCTGTAAGGATCTCTACTCCCACTTTGGCCTTCTTTAGAAGGAGGACTCATGGATTTAATGCCCTAAATCATAGAATCCTAGAGTAAGAAAGGAGCTTTAAATATTTTACATCCTCCTTCCCCCACCCCATGGCAGATGATTCACCAGCCCTCTTTGACAGTGATTGTCTCATTGAAGGCAACTAGATATAACTTTCCAGGAGGATCTCACATTTCTCCTTCTCTACTTCTAAAACATGGAGTTGAGGAGAGGATGAGGAACCTATCAAATCAAGGATCTTTTGAAACCTGTGAAGCAGGATAGTGTCTTCATAATTCCTGTATTATAGTATCTTAAAACTTCAAGGGACTTTGGAGATCATGCCATTGTCACAACCATAAAAGACAGTAGGATCGAGTAAAATGGCTGCCATGGCTAAAGTTCATATAGAGATAGATATGGGATGTGAGTATTCCAGATCTCCTTATTCTGACTCTGGAATTTTTTTTTTAACTACTGTAGGAGATAATTTGGCCTTCACTTGTACAGGTCTCAGAAACCACTAAATCCTATTAACCAACTTTCTGTGCTATTTTCATTGGGCTAGTTGTTCCGTGTAGACTATCTTTTGATTGGTTGGTGATAAAGAAGTAAAAAGACAGCAAGTAAGTAATGACTCTTTTGATCCCAAAGTTATTATATCCTTTTTCTCCCCCAACAGATGTGAGGTGAAAATAAGCTAGAAAACCTTCTCTGGGACACGGATGTACATGGTTTGTTACATTCCTGAACCTTCTATGTATGGTGCTTCATTGACAGTATACTCTACTTGTTCTCCTCTGTGAAAAACTGTCTGAAAGAACACTTGATGAGAACAAAGAGACAATGTAATGTACATTTGTTTAATGTGACATCAAAGCAAGTATTGTAGCACTCGGTGAAACAATAAGAAGCTTCCTTGTCCAAAAAAAAAAGAAAAAAGAAAAAAACTATACAAAAACCCATACAAAAAAAAATAAAAGGTTGACTGAATGGATGAGACGAAAAAGTCCTACAAAAATGTGACAAAAATCTAAATGAACAATGGATTTCTGTCAAGAGTGGTCAAAGGTGCTTTTTGTCAAGAAGTAGGCCTGTTTTCTTGATGAAGATGGATGGACACTGATGGACTACAGGCACACACACACAAAAAGAAAACAACAACAACAACAACAACAACAACCAGGAATGTATCCAATGCCACGCGAACACTATAGACACAATACATCCTCGATCCGTAGTGTTTTAAGTCTATACAAAAACCTTTTTGAGAGCCTTAAGTGGATTTTTTTTATACCATAAAGTGATTATTAAGCTTTTCTTTTTATTCTTTGCCTAGCTTTTTTTTTTTTAAATCTCTTGGACTCCATTTACCAATAACACATGAAAAAGGCTGCTCTAAGTAACAGTAAGGCAGGCAGTATGATGGTATTTCTCCTAGCAGGATGCAAACTAATGAGATGTATTAAAATAAACATGGTATACCTACCTATGCATAATTTTCTAAATGTTTCTGGGTTTATATTTTTCTCCTTCCTCCCCCTCCCTTTTTAATTTAAGCCATTTGAGTAAAATAATGTGCGTAAACCAATCATAGAAACATCCATGCCAAATCCTCCCTTGCAGGCTTTTGTCAGTTGGTGACTAGTCAGTGATATCTGTGTTAGCAATTTGCCATTCTTTTTACAGTATATGAGATAGAAAGTTAATTTTTGACATGTTTGGCTGGGTGAAAATGTACAACTTCTTCTTGTATCTGTATTGTACAATGTTGTCACAGCAGAGGAGTGGACCTGCTGCCAATATTTGAACAGAACTTTAAAATTCTTTATTTTTGGTAAGATGTTATGCTTTGCGTGTATTCAACAGAAAATGTGTTTTTTGTAAAGGTGAAGTTTGTATTTTTATCTAAAATTAACAGTTTTGTATACCTGAGAAATCCTATGTTTTCTTGAAACCATCCCCTTTTCCCTCCCTTCCCCCAAGATCCCAACCCTCATCACAACAAAACAAAAAAATCCACCTCCAAAGGAATCCAAAAAAAAAAAACCACCTCCCATTATTTTATGGTCATATTTTTCTAGTAGAAGAGCCCAATCAACTTCAAATTCTGTTTCAAACCCAACTCGCCTTGCAGTAGAATACTGGTTAAGATGCCTATGCTTCTTTCATTTACCAGTGGCTCACCGGGATTCCATTGGAGCCCTCTCTCAAGGGCTCAGCTGAACCCAATTGGCTTCAGGCCCCACCCACTGCATTGAAAATTAAAGAGGATGTGGTCATATTTAAAATTCCAGAATCATTGGTCAGTTCAATTTGACGAAAGAAATTGGCCCAACTGTTCATTTATTGTCACACAGACCAAACATTTGGTTAGTTGACTGAGGCGCTTGTCTATCTGATGCCAAAAGCCATTGGGAGGGAAAGTGAAAACTTTGGTTAGAGGGGTTATTTGGCTGAATTTAACTTAAAAGGAAAAAAAACCCACATTTGAGTCAGGCTTGCTTGGAGGGTATAGGCAAAAGAGCCTGATTTTTTTCCTACTTTTCTTCGGCTTATGGCCTTGGGTAGACATAGATAGTTAACTATTCTGAGTACCCTGGTGGCTCATTACGCTGCCTCATTTACTCTTCCCCCAAACCTCCAAGTAGGTTAGGTCATGTGGCCATTTTCCTTTTAATTTTGTTTATCACGTTTCCCATGAAATGTCTCCTAAGAGATGGAATCTTTCTCTCTGTTGTATGTGTTAGTGAAGTAAAGGGTTTTTGTTTTTGTTTTTGTTTTTTAAAGAGGAATTTATAAAGTAGCATGTCTTTATGATAAGGCTTTCAGCCTGAATGGAATGCCTCTGAATGTGAATGAACTGAAGCTTTGAGATGTAAACACTAAGACATTGGGATAAGATGGGAAAGGGGGGTGGGTAGGGAGAGGCTGAGGGAAACCAACACTTGGAGCCTTTCAAATTTTGGGGAAAAGATTGAACCTGTTCTTGCCCTCTCTGGCATGGTCACATTTCGAGCAACAGAAAAGCAGTTTGGGAAACAGGCTGTTTGTGGCAGCATGAAGTCAGAATTCAGCCTTACCCAGATGCCAGTCAGATGCCTGGAGGGGTATATTCTCTTCCCAGAGAGTGGAAACCTGAGTTCTGTTGGCCACCTGTGCTTACTCTCAGCTGGGTACCATTCACAATGCTATGCCCATGAATGTATATGTCTAAAGTTTTTTTTAATGTGTAAAAGTGTAATTTATATATTTATGTTTCAGTGAGATGCCAATAATATTGCTCATCTCTCTCTCTCTCTCTTTTTTTTGCAAGCTATCTAATGAAAGAATTCATTTACCCATTAAAATCATGTAGCTGAAAAAGCATGGTGTGCTCTCCTCATAGGTTTTTGGGGAAAAATGTTAGAAAAACAAAGAAAGGTGCTGGAGTAAACCAGGGGCCCACTTTGTGGGGACACCCTGTGGTTCCTTTGCTGTGGCAAGGAGTTGGCGAGCTCCATGGTATATTTAGTTCCCAGAGAAAATGTAACCCAAGACAGCCATTTGACTGGTGCCGCCATAAAGACTGTCATGGTTTCAAAGGGAGGAGAGCTACAGACTGAATGAAGGGTCCTGCGGTAGCTCTTTCAATGACAGAGTTGGAGTCGGTGGTTAATTTCATTACTGGCTCTTACGAGGAATTAGGGGATATGGTCTTTGTGTCCGAGCCCTGTGGTCCTGTGGTTGACATAAGCAAACACTGACCAGTCTTTGAATTGGCTACAGAGATGATGACTTAAAAAAAATTCAGTGCCATTGATGCTGTTGCTGCTTCCTTTTGTCAAGGTTTTGTCTGCATTCCCAGCATTCCTTTCTAACACATTATCCCTTTGGTGATGACTTGCCTTTGTGTCTTAAACCAAATACTGTTGGGTCCAAAGACTTCAATATTGGGAGAGGAGGCAAATAGAAAATAGCCTTAGGTCTGGGAGGGACTTCCCCAGCCAAGGGTAAAAGGGTAAGGGTAGCTACATTTTGAGAGAAGGAGGAAGGGGAGGCGAGGGGCTGGGCTAAAACGGAGATCTTGGGGATATACAACCTTGCAAGAGTTCGCCTTTTTGGTCATATGTATTTTGTTAAATATTTTTCAAGAGACCACAATGCCCAGGTTTACAAAGCACTTAAGTGATGTCATTTGATCCTCACTACAACCCTGTGAGGTAAATGCTATCATTATCCTCATTTTACAGGTGAAGAAATAGAGGTTTCGCCTTTCCCAGGATCACCCTAATAGTGTCTGAGGCAGGGTTGAACTTAGGTCTCAGATTCCTAAACTTAGTCACAAAGGTCGTAAGTGTTAGAGTCAGAATTTGAACCATATCTCTAACTTAAAACCAGTGCCCTTTCCATTATACCATGCTGATGGCCTTTATGCCTTAGGCAAGTTAGTTTCTTGTTCTTGGCCTTAGTTTCCCCCATCTGTAAAAAGGTGGGGTTGGATTAAATAATCCCTCTCAGTTCTAATACTCTTTGAGTCTATAAGGGGTGTGTGTGTGTGTGTGTGTGTGTGTGTGTGTGTGTGTGTGTGTGTGTGTGTGATGTGTGTGTGTATGTGTGTACACATCACTCCCTCAAACCCCATTCTTTTCATATCACAGCATCATTTCAATAGCCTAGGTTCATAGCTTCATAGGTAGAAAGGACCCTAGAAGTCATCTATGCCAAGTTGCCAATTTTACAAATTAAATAGAACTCCAGAGAACGAAAGTGATTTGCCCAAAGTTAGGTAGGTATTTAAATAGCAGAATTGAGATTTGAACCTGAGTGCTTTGACTCTAGTGCCATCTCTTCTACATCCTTTATTGTGGTATTGGACTTCATATTCAAACAGTAACCTTTTTGGGAGCCATCTGTACAAGGTACTCTTAAATGACAGGGATAAAATGAAGCATAAGATGAGTTACTGCTTTCAACAATCTAGCCATCTTTCCGCCAATACATGTCAACTCCTCATCTACAGGGTACAAAAGCAGCATATAATTGAATTCTTATAGAACTGCCCTATATCAGTAGTCTCAAAGTGCTCTGAGGACCCCTAGGGATCCCTAAGATCTCTTCAGGCAGTCTACAAGGTAAATTTTTTTTGTAATAAGATGTTTATATTTCTAATATAGTTAATATTCATATATAGAAATGTGTGTAACATTAAATATGTAAAAATGTATAATTATAATATACATAGTACATAACTGCCCCCCCCAAAAAAAAGCTCTTGAGGGGGCAGGGTCTTCATTAATTTTAAAGAGTGTAAAAGGGTCCTGAGATAAAGTTTGAGAACCAACACTCTATGTACTGTTTACTTGTCTGAGAAAAGGAACAATCAGGTTTAGATAAGGTACTTGGAAGTGGAAATGAGATTTAAACTGGTACTGAACAGATTAAGACTATTTGTCTAGACTAGAAGTTCTCAATCTATTTCTAGATCATTCCATGAACCCCTTTGACAATCTGATATAGCTTATGGGCCCCTCAGAATAATGTTTTTAAATGCATAAAATAACACAAAAGGTTACAAAGGAAACTAATTATGTTGAAATTCACTTAACAAAATATTTAAAACACAAGTTTGTGGACCTCAAGTTAAGAACCCCTAGTTTAAGTAGTGAAGAAGGGAGAGGGTATTCCTGATGGGAGAAAGTCATTGTTAAGAAGCTCTGGGAAATGATGGGAGACAAGGTTGGTAGTGGAGGGGTTGGGGCAGGATTGTAGAGAGTCTTGAAGGGTTTCTGATAAAAAGTTTGGAATTTGAGGCATTGTGG